CTCCCTTACATACAGTAGCAGCCCCTCTAATATTGGAAGACTCTATCATATCCCACCTAATTCTTTTTTTTTTCCAGACTGGCAATACCCAGTTCCTGCAACCATTCTTTGTTTTAGTCACCAGGCCCTTTAATCATCTTAATTGCTCTTTGCACTTTTTCCAAAGCAGAATGAAAAGAGTAATTTCAGAAATGAACAGGGATTCAGAATGGGGATTCGATATAAAATGCTGTTAGTGGAGCAAGATTTGAAATTCTTAGCACGGCGTGTTCTGATGCTGAAGGAAAAAGCTTTTTCCTGATAATTACATGTTGCTGCAGTCTGTGATTTTTAAAATAAAAGAGAGTCTGGTATTCCTCATATTATTCCACAACTATCACAATTATGGGAAGATGGACAAACACACCTGAATTTGCAGAAATGAAACTCTCTGAGATGTAGATAGGTAATTTCTAAATATATAAAAGAAATAAACTACTGGTCAGGAGGGGGAGACTAATCTTTGCTGCTCTTCTCTGCATTCTTTCTAGAGTCTCAAAAAAAAAAAAAAATGAGTGAAACCAGGCTTAATAGCAGTAACTGTGAGAGGGATCTTGGAGTCTTAGTGGACAATCAATTAAATATGAACCAACAGCCAAAAAAGCCAATGCAATCCTAAGTTGCATTAACAGAGGGATTCAATCAAGATCACATGAGGTACTAACACTACTCTGTAAAGCCTTAGTAAGACTAAACCTAGAATGCTGCAAACAATTTTGGTCTCCACACTATAAAAAAGATGTTGAGATTCTAGAAAAAGTGCAGAGAAGAGCAACAAAGATGATTAGGGGACTGGAGGCTAAAACATATGAAGAACGGTTGCAAAAACTGGGCATGGCTAGTCTAGTGAAAAGAAGGACTTAGGAGTGACATGATAGCAGTGTTCCAATATTTGAGGGGCTGTCACAGAGAGGAGGGGGGGGGTCAACCTATTTACAAAGCACCTGAAGGCCAGACAAGGAATAATGGGTGGAAGCTGATCAAGGAGAGATTCAACCTAGAGATAAGGAGAAATTTTCTGACAGTGAGAACAATCAACCAACGGAACAGTTTGCCTTCAGAAGTTGTGGGAGCTTCATCATGGGAAGCTTTCAAGAAAAGACTGGACTGCCATCTGTCAGAAATGGTGTAGGGATTCCTGCTTGGGCAGGGGGTTGGACTATATGACCTACAAGTTCCCTTCCAACCCTGTTGTTCTATTCTGTTCTGTTCTATTCTATTCTGTTCTGTTCTGTTCTATGAACAAAGATGGTTAGAAGGCTGGAGGCTAAAACATGCAAAGAACAGCTGCAGGAATTGGGTTTGTCTCTAGTAGTTTAATGAAAAGAAGGACTGGGGTGACATGATAGCAATGTTCCAGTATTTGAGGGGCTGTCACAAAGAAGAGGGGGGTCAACCTATTCTCCAAAGCACCAAAAGGCAAGAAGAGAAACAATGGATGGAAACTAACCAAAGCAAGAAGCAACTTAGAATTTTCCTGTCAGTGAGAACAATTAACCAATGAAATGACCTGCCTCCAGAAGTTGTGGGTCTTCCATCCCTGGAGGTTTTTAAGAAGAGATTGGCTATCCATTTGCCTAAAATGGTATAGACTCTCCTGCTTGAGCAGGGGATTGGACTAGAACAGTGTTTCTCAACCTTGACAATTTTAAGGCATGTGGACTTCAAGTCCCAGAATTCCACAGCCAGCAATGCTGGCTGTGGAAATCTGAGAGTTGAAGTCCACATGCCTTAAAATTGTCAAGGTTGAGAAACACTGGACTAGAAGATTGCTGGCTGGGAGTTGAAGTCCACGTGCCTTAAAATTGTCAAGGTTGAAAAACAATGGAACTTTAGAAGGCTTGGGAGGGCTCTCCATCATTCTTGTCCAACCTCCTGCTTAGTGTGGGGATCCACGGTTGCTGCCTCCACTTAAAACTTCTCCAAGGATGACAGGCCACCCCCTTCTCAGGTAGCCTGTTCCACAGCTGAACAGCTGTTTCCATGGGGAAAAAAAGGGGGGGGAGAAGTCGGACAGAACCCTTGTTTTTTTTTCTTTGAACTTCCTCAGAAGAAGCTTCTTGGATGAGAAGCAGAACATTTTCAAAGAACAAACCAAATAAGTCCAGTTGCCTTTTAGAAAAAGCACCTTTGGGCGAACAGTGACCCTGGATGGTTGAGTCTCCATAGATAAAGTCTAAGAAAACCCGCTTTCTCCTACTCTGAGCTTCTCCCTTCTTCAGAAGGATCCTGCCCTGCCTTCTCCCCCTGGGGGTAGGAGAGCCACCCTCTCTACAAGGGATTCCTTGTTCTCCTGAGCGGGAGGGTGTCGATTTCAGGAGTGGCCTCCTGCAAAGGACAAGGATTGGTTTTTTTTTGGGGGGGGGGGTGGCGCTTCCACAGGGGCCAACTTCCTTCTATCTGAAAATTTTACTTTTACATTTAAAAAATCTCTGCCTGTCGGAATGGTACAAGGTCAGAAACCCCCCCCCCGCTTCAAAGAGGATTACCGAGAACACTTTATTAACATTTCAAAAGACACTGCCGCTCATTTCAGAGATATGATGTAATAAAGAGATCTGCTTAACTCAGCCAGTGGGAGGGAATCCTGTCTGTCAGATAGGGGCCTGGGCCATCTCCAAAGGGTCGCAGTGGGAGAGGCCTTCCCATCCCGAGGCGCTAGGGAGGGGCAGACCTTCCTACCGGCCAGTCTCCCTATCAGAAAAATCTGTCCCCCCCCCCAAGTGACCCTCTTGGATTAGAACCTCCAGTGCCAGCTTCTCCAATGAAACTTTCAAGCTGGAAAAGGTGGCAATGGGGAGAGGGGGGAGAGTTTGGGGCTGGTTCCCCAGAATCAGGCTTTTAAAAAGGTAAAAGAAATGAAACCGCCAGCCACCAGGTGTTCCGCCCTTCTTCCCCGTGACCCAAAGACAGGTCCTGGGCACGGGGCTCTCTTGGAAGACTGCTAAGCCCAAAGGCAGCCCACCAAGCTCCTAGCTGGGTCAGCGTCCCCTTGGTGCTGATCCTGAGACCCATGTCCAAGCGCCAGGAGAGCCCCAGCCTGCCGCCTCTGCAACCCGCCGTGCAGGAGAGAAGACGAGGCCAGCTGGTCCCCTCGACCCCACTGCTTAGCAAGGCCCTGTAAGTCCTTCCAGGACGGAAGGAAGTGGCCCAGGGAGCTGGGCTGGCAGCTATTTCCTTAACCAGTGTTTCCCAAACTTGACAATTTTAAGGCATGTGGAATTCTGGGAGTTGAAGTCCTCATGCCTTAAAATTGTCAAGTTTGGGAAACACTGTCCTAAACCACGTCCCTCTCCTCAAAAGACAAACCACCCTCTCTGCACCACATGAGGAGAAAAAAAAGAGAGGGAAGGACCTCACTGCTTGACCTCTACCTTAAGCACTGAGGCAGGGATAAATGAAAAATGAACACCTAAAGGCTTCCTTTCCACAGGACTCCCAAACTCCTCCCTGGGGGTCATATTAATGTTTCAAAGTTCTCCCAACGGCTGAGCTGAATTCAAAGATTCTTGGGGGGGGGGTCATTTCCAAGAGAAACCTGATAGGAGCCTGGCAGCGGGAACCCCGAAGCCCCCCACAGGCAATCAGGCCAAAGACCTCTTAGACCAAGGAGTTTTTTTTGCTAGAAAACCAAATCCCCAGAATGAGAAACGTCTCTGCTGCTTCAGAATTTCCCTTCCAGCCTTCGAAAGAAGGGCTTCAAATTCACCAGGCTTCCTTGGTCCCACGCAATGGGTTCAACTCCAGATTGTGTGACGGTTAAGGCTCCGGACCGCTTTCTGACTGACCCTCACACAAATTCCTGGCCAGAGCAACCAAGGGAAGACCCAGATGGAGAAGGAGCGGGAGCTGCTGTCAGCTCAGGCAGGCAGCAGGCATTTTCAACTGCTGCCAGTTTTAATGCAAGCAAATAATCACCAGGATATTTGACTACTGTCTAATGCAAGGGAGATTATGTTGGCTCTCACCAGCCAAAACAGCCAGTTCTTCGAGCAACCTTTTGCAGGGCAGAACCGGGACCCCCTCCCTTCTCCCTCATCCAGGATCAGCTTCTCAGTAGGGGCTTTCCCAACACTTACGATCCCCCCCACCCCACCCCCAAGGCAGCCCACCAAACTCTGGCCCAGCTGACCTGAGGCTGCCTCCCAGCAGCCGGGCATCTCCTAAGCTGCCTTTCCCTTGGTCGGGCGCTCTACGGGGCCGGTTGGAGAAGCGGAAATCGCCCATCTCAGGTGGCGATTTTGGTCTTGAGTGGGCCTTGACCCCCCTGCCCCATAACTTCCAGGGGGAGGCAATTGTTGCTCCTCTGCCCTAAGGGTTGGGGGTCCGGATAGGACGAGGAAGATTTCCCCCTCCCGCCACAAACACTCCAGGCAGGTGCCTGCCGGTTAATCCCCGGGCTCGGTTGCTGCGAATATTCCCCCCTCAGCCCCTGCAAAGGCGACGAGCACCCACCCCCCACCCCAGCTTTTCATCAGCCCCACCGAGAGCGGCTCCCATCACGCCTTCCCTACGGGAAGACAGCCCTGCGCTTCCCGGCACTTTTTCTCCTTTTAGCCACCGATAGCAGCGCTCCCTCCCTCCATCCTTCTCTCCATCTTTCCTTCCTGGATCCGTAGCCTCCCCAACTTCGCGCCATTAGGTTTAGCCATCCGCGTGTCTGCTCCAGGGGCGAACCCGGATCCCTCTACCGGCGGGAGGGTGGTCCAGGGCGGGGCCGCAGCCCCCGCCCCGACAGACGCGAAGGAAAAGCAGCCAGCGCCGCCCCCCCCCCGGTACCGCTTCACCGGCGGCGGGAGGGAAATCCCGGGGAGGCTGCCCGAGGAAAGGGGCGCCCGCGGCGGAGCTTCTCGGGCGCACCCGCAGCGCCCCCCGCCCCACCCCCGCGAGACTCACGGAACTAAGGGCCCCGTGGGACCCCACATCACGCCCGGAGGCCCCTCGCCGGCCGGCCAACTCACCTCGGACGCAGAGCAGGGACATGGTGCCGCCCGGCGGGGCGAGGAGGACCGCTGCTTCCTCCCGGCCGCGTCCGCGTTTCTCACGCCCGCCGGCCAGGCCGGGGCCGACCCCTCGGGCGCCGCGCGGGAGACCCCGTCGCTACCGGCGACGCCGCGGACACAGCGCGGGGGGGGGGGAGAGAGAGACACGGCGGCCGTCTGGGCGGGGCGTGGCCGCGGCCAATTGGCGCCCGGCAGAGAGGCCGCCGTCTCCGGACACGCCCCCAGAGGCGGGGCGGGGCTTGCCGGCCGGGGGCTCCTGGGCGGGCGGCTCTCTGTGTGTGCCCAGAGGGACTCTTTCGTGCCCGTTGGGGCTCCGGCGCCGGAGGATCCCCGCCCACAGCCGCGTGTTTCGGTTCTGGGGACCCTCCCTAGGGACCCTCTGGCGGGCCGGCTGGGTTCGTCCGCTCCGCGGCCGCCTGACGCCGCCCGCGGGGGAAGCAGCCGCTGTGGCCGCCTCTTCCCGGCCGTTGGCTGCGCCGCCCCGGTTGGGAGGAAGGCCAACGGGAAAAGCGGCTGGAATGCAATCCCTGCCTAAGAAGGGATCCCCTCCGGCAGGAGGACGGGCGGCGAGGACGGCCCAGGTAGCCAAGCAGGGGTGGGGCAGTGGAGGAAGAGGGGAGGAGCCCCGAGCGGCCCTCCCGCCACGCCCCCTGGCACCGCCCGCGCGTTGCCGGGAGGGGTTATGTGGGCCCAGGGCGGGGGGGCGGATCAGCCGGCCTTTCAAGGCTGGAGCCCCGCAACTGGCCCGCTGCCTGGAGGAAAGGAGCGAGGCCTTCGGGGGCGCCCGGTTCGCTGCCTTCACGTGGTTGCCCACAATCTCTGGAACCTCCTGTCTGGGAATTCTCGAGGGAGGGGCCTCCTGGGCTGCCCTGCCCTGATGTCTGGTTCCACTGGCACAGACTGCCAGCAAGATGACCCATGTGGTACGGCCATTGTTTAGAGCAGTGGTTCTCAACCTTTTTAATGCCGTGACCCCCCCAACAGGTTGTAAGTTGAGGACTACTCAACCGGTTGTAAGTCGAGGACTACTCAACTGGTGCAGCACCGTTTGCAGAATGGGACTTTTGGCGGGCTCAGCAGGGCAGAGACAGCCTGGACAATTCCTATTGGCTTTTGAAAGCCAATAGAATTAGACTCTATTCAAGAGACTCTATTCTATTGGCTTTCAAAAGCCAATAGAAAAAAAGGGAGTAGCACAGCTAAGGGGAAAAAAATGGCGGACTGCGTTGTTTGGCGACCCCTGTGAAATGGTCTTTCGACTCCAAATGGGGTCCCGCCCGACAGGTTGAGAACCACTGGTTTAGAGCCAGGAGGAGCTGAGCTCAGTCAGTACTGCAAGGGGGGTGCAAAACTGGCAATGGTTCCCCTCTGGAACCCCCAAGTGCCTGACTCTTTTCATTTTAGGGCAGGGTTCTCCAAACCTGGCAACTTTAGGACTTGTGGACTTCATGCTGGCTGAGGAATTCTAGGAGTTGTCCACAAGTCCTAAAGTTGACAGATTTGGAGACCCCTATTCTTGGGCTGTTTGTGTGTGTGTGGGGGGGGAGGGTGATAATAATTTCTGCAACTCCAGAGTATTTATTTGAGAACCTTTATGTAAAACCTAGCTCAGGTGGCCACAAAATCCTAAAATCAAACTACTCACGGGTTTCCTCTTATCCTCACCTGCTATTTGTCTTATGGTGGACTGTGAACGTCTTTGTGCTGAAGAACGGCCCCTCCCTCGGCTAAGGATTAAGGCAGCTTCCTTGGTGGGTCACAGCAAACAGACTCAGGTGCTGAAGCGTTGACAAGACAGCCAGCATCTGTAGGCTTTGAAGCTGTAGCCCCAATCCTACTCTCTGACCTGGCCCCTAAGAGCCTCTCAAAGAGAAGAAGATTCCAGGGAGCTGTGATCACAAATGGGATCCATTAGAGAAGATCCCTCCTAAAACTGCTCTTCACCTAGCAGTCTTTTGGGGAGAGTGGTTCCCCACCTTTTGCTGAGCCATAAACTCAGTTACAAACAGGAGGGCCACACTAAGCAGAGCCCCAAAAGACAGAGAGCAGAGGCTCGGTGCTCTTTAAGACAATCCATCCACTTCCCCTTAAATGGCACTAAAGATTTCATGGGTGTTTGGGTTGGGCAAAAAAATAAGTAAGTCCACTTTCAAGTGGTCAACTTTATCTAGACATCGCAGGCGTTTCTCAAATTTTGTGGTGCGGCAAATGCCAACTTGTAGCCCACTCAGTGCCTGGGCATCAGAAGGCAATGGTTTTGGGTACAGCGGGTTGTGAATGAAGTTATTGCAGTTCGTAAATTGGGTTTATAACCAGTAGTTTTTTTGCAAAGTCACATGAAGCATGGCACTAAGTGTCACCACGTCAGGGTAATGCTGGGCTTCCAAAGGGCTTGGAAGCATCTGAGCCAAAGGACTGCCTGACTCAACCAGGCTGAGGCACCTGCCAAAGCAGTGGGATGCTTCCTCCCTGCCCCGACTTTTCCTCTGCCTGTTTTCATCCTGAAGCATCTTCTTGGGGCTTGGAAGGGGAGCCAAGGCCCCCGGCTGTCTTTCCTGTGCCTGAATGAACAGGAAGTGCGATTTCAGGTCTCCTGCAGGAGCTGGAAGGTTGTTTGGGCTGGTCAAGTGACTGCCAGCCCCAAGAGGCTCCCAAAGAAACTAGGCAAGAGGAAGGGGAGGGGGCGCTGTCAGTTGTCACTTTGCCTTAGAGGTCAGCCTGTGAAAGGAGCTCTCCCCAAAGGTTCTTCTCTCACCCTCCGGCAAGCAAAGACACTTTGGCCCAGGAAGGAAGGCTATCCCTGGCAGAAGAGCCACTGTGTGTGTATGTATTTGTGTATGTGTGTGTGTGTGTGTTGGTGTGCGCGCCTTGCAGCAACAACATGGCTGGTTGTAGTCTGGGTTGGCCTTCCTGGTTGGAGAAGCTCTCCCGCCTTCAGCAAGGAGTCTGAAACTTTAAGCTCTGGGAAGCAAGGGGAGCCTGCCCATCACTTCGTTCTAACCCTTTTCCATCCATTTTTCCTTCCAGATCGTCTGGATTGTCCTCCTCTGGAAATGTTCCAGCTTCTCAATGTCCTTCCTAAAATGTGTGGCCCAAAACTGATTAAACGTTCTACACTTGAGTCAGTTGGTTTGGTTTGGCTTGGGCATGCTGTGCAAACTCTGCTGCGGGGATGTTGCTAAGCTGGAACTTACGGTTACAGTTTTCTGTTAACTCAGGCACTTGTGATTTATTCAGGAAATCACAAACCAGCTGAGTCACAGTTCTACTTGTTATTTATTGTATTACTCTGTTTGGAAGCTTTGTTTGAAGAAACTCTGGTGATTGGCCACAAGAGAGCAGCAGCTCCCTTCCTGAATTTTTAATGTTGATCATAGAATTCTTCCTGGTGAAGCCCAACGGTTCCACTTTGGGAAGTGCTCAGAAATTATAATTTCTTATTATGTCAGGGAGATGGATCAAATTCAGGGGTGGTTCCTTTCTTTGTCCAGCCTTATAAAACAAAGACCAACAGATTGCAGCAGAGGCCTGACGCAACTAGTCCCTTTATGGGGCTTTTATGAAAAGAGAGCAAGGACTCTTCACATGGTCTGCCAAGGTTGTAGCAGTATAGGGAAAGGAGTGGCAGAGCCTGGGGCGGAATAAAAAGAGGGATCAGTCTAGAACAGGGGCCACCAACCTGTGGTCTGGGCCCACTACCAGGCTGTGGGCTCTTGGCCACTGGCCTCGTGAGTGGCTGCTGAGTGCATGCATGGCTGCATACTTGCATACCCCCACTCACGCTAGTGTCATGGCATCACATGGCCACTAGCATCATGAGCATCACATGGGCACTAGCGTTGCCATGAGCGCACCCTCACTCGTGCTAGCATCGTGGCATCGTGCCGGTGCTTTGTTGCTGCAAGCGCAACATCCCCACTCACGCTAGCATTGCGGCACTGCGTGGGTGCTAGCATTGCCTGAGCATCACACGGGCACTTGTGGCCCCTGTTTGTGTCACATGCGCAATCACAGCCCTATGTGTGCCTGGCCCCATTCGCGTGTCTGCGTGTTTTTACACCTGTAAAAACACCTCCACCCCAGAAGATTCCTGTACATAGCCATAATTAGCAATAAATCAGTTTAACTGGACCTTCATGTGTGGACCTGGTCTTTCGTGCCTGGCAGGCCAGGAAACTGCTCACTAAAAGGTAACTTATATTTTGTCTTGTTTATTGTGCTTTTATGTCCATTGAACATTTCTCCCCATCTGAGAAAGGCATCCTTTGCAAGCTGGACTGGGGAAAACAGGCTTCTGTGCAGGGATGTCAGCAGGCACAGTCCACAACAATACAACCGAAGCTCTGCCTGTGTTTTATGGGCAAGGCATACCAGAAAACTGGTGTAGCTTTGATGGCAGTGTAGAGGCCGCCGTCTTAACTTTTTACAAAGGATGTGCCTTGGCTTGGATCCCGTGCCTGAACTGAGTCTGCTCTTCTTCCTGCCCTGAAGGTGCTTGCTGGGGGGGGGGGAATTCTTTCCCAACATATGCAGCTGGAAAAGCTTCAGCTCCAAAAGCTCTGGACAGGGCCAAGTTCACTCTGATTTAAAGGGGCTGCTTGGGACCCACACAGCTGTTGGAGAGCCCAGGAGGGAAAAGATAACTGGGAAAAGCAGGGGGGGGGGCATTCATTTGTTGGGTATGTGTGTTTGTTTGTGCTGCCTCTTGGCTACTGAGGTCATTGCCCCATCTTGCCTGGGGTGTATCCAAACCCTCTGCCAGCCACAGGGACTGGATGAAAGCAAATTCATGAAGGTGGGTTGCCTCTTTTGTTTCCAGCTTGCTATTCAGCTCTGGTTCCCCAGAAAACCTCAGCTCCCACCCCTGGGAAGCTAAGCAGAACCTGGTCCATTAATCCTTGGATGGGAGACCACCCGGAAACCCCAAGGCCCGAAGTTGGAAAGGACAGCTCTCGAGTCCCTGCAGCTTCCAGGGTCGGCGCCTCCCCGGCCCACTCGCTCTCCAAGAGCCGGGCAGGAAGAAGGGAGGCCAGCAGGCGGACGGCCTTCCCCCACCTCGCCGGTTCGGAGGGGAGGCGGGCACTACAATTCCCAGGATCCCTGGCGGAGAAGTCTGATCCCGGCCACGCCCCTCCCCCTCCCCGCTGTCACCAAGGTCCTGCACGTGGAGAAGGCGTGGCCACAGCCGCCGCGCCCGCCCATTGGCCATCGGGGGCTCCGGGGCTCGCCCTGAGAGCCAATACGCGCCGGGGAGGGCGGAGCCTCGCAGGGCCCGGAAGCTGCTTCGGGGAAAGGGGGCGCCACGCCTGCCGGACCCCTCAGTCCCCACGGGAAGCGCCCCGGAGCCTCTCCCGGCCGGCGCGGAGCAGGGCGCGGGCGGCGGCAGTGGCGGCGGAAAGCCCGGCCTGCAGGTAAGGCGCGGGCGCCGCTGCTCGCGATCTTCCCCGCGGCCCCTCCAGACGGGGAGGATCTTCTCCTGCACGGGCCGGGCGCGGTGCGGCCTCCTCCCGGGTCGCCTTTCGCCCTGCTCAGCTCCCGGCAGCAGCTGCCT